AACGATTATTGAGAGGGCGAAGAGAGAGAGAAGATCGAGCAAAGACGAATCGCCCTTCCCCCGCTTCCAAACTCACAAAAATATTGGCAAAAATATTCAAATATTCAATTACCATCATGATATGGCCATCGATTTTCAACGACCGCTCGAACGAGCAAACGACGAATCCCCTATTTAACGTGGCCTAATATTCCACTTCGCGGCGTGAAACGTTATGAGTATTCGATACGTGTCATACACGTGTGGATAACAACCGCCTATTTGTACGTTTATTCGATATCGATGGCAGCCGCGACGGAGGCCGCGTGTCAAATAAACAGCGAATACCTAATATCACGAGTTACATATATATATATATATATAACCGTAACGAGAGGAGTTCGAAAGGGATCGTTATCGAGGTAACCGAACGATTTATTTAAACCGGGGCTTCTCAGACACGAACCACGCTGACGTAATTCAAGAACTTGCTCAACTGCCGAGATGCGGATAAGTCTCGGCAAGTTTGCGCGCCCTCACGAACTTCGAACAGTAACATCAACCGAGAGAAGGGAGGGGGAATATCGAACGTTCGTATTCGTTTGAAAGAACGATTCTTTTTTGGCTCTGGCTCTCGCTGAATCCTTACTTAAAAGTCTAATGAAAGAAAGATGAATGAGTTGCTTGAATAAATTTAATATTTCATTTTATTTTAATTAAGAAATTGTGCGTAGTAGAGAATAACGTGCAAAATTATTATTGATATAAGCCTGAAAATAGAAGAATGTTTAGAACGAAATAGACTAGGATGATGTGGACGACAAATGTGATTAATGTAATTATAATGTCCATATGAAATCCGATGATTTTCTTGTGCATAAGAAAAGATGTTGCCTGGAGAAACATATAATTTGAAGCGGGATAAAATTTCAGAACATGTAACTAAATCGTTTAAAATCTCGGGGCAACGACCAGCGTTACGTTTCTGCGTTCACATTATATGTATGTACAAGGTGTGTTAATATATTCGTGGGACATCTTTGGAGAATCGATTCTAGAAGCCTGATAGAATTGAAATTTTAAACAAAGCGAGATGGAAAATTATCTTTGTTACATTGTTGTTGTCTCGCTTCATCTAACCGGTATTTTTCCACACCAACACTTGCATTTGTTTTGACCTCAAGAATGTATTAACACTCTGTGTATATACATACATTTATTATATTTCTCTATATACATTACAAGTCATTTTAGACACACGGTTGGCACATAGTAATATCCTATAAATACAAACAATAAAGAGCAAAAACTTGTGAATACTTTCTAAACTATAACATAAATAATAGTGACGAAGTGATCAAGGAATAATGTTCGAAATAAGGAGAAGAGAGCAATAACTCGTGAAGGATTATTGATATTAATTACGTTGTTAATATTAACATAATAATTATATCAACAATATCAATAAAATTAATTGATAGATTTGTTGAATTGAAAACGAAATTTTCAACCGTTTGTAGATCGTTCGGGTAGATATTTAATTTATTATAATTTCAGACAATTTAATTATAATTCTACAGGAAAATAATATCGATGAAATTTTCAACGTATACAAGCGTCCTAGAAAGAATGAAACAAATTGAAAATGCGGAATAAAATTTTTAACCAAGAATATATACACTTGATTTCAACCTAGCCTAAGTAAGATAAACATAAATCGAAAAATAAGATTAATGACAAAAAAGGGACAAATAGGGACAAACTAGTTATATACACTCTTCGAAAACATAAAATGTAACCATGAAAATTACCTAATACTACTAATTGCCCATATGACAAATATTCTAAATGTTACAAGCGCAGACACGATTGAATTATATTTATATTATGCTAACGTGTGCAAAATTGTCAACGATCGTCGCGTTTTTTCGAGCAAGAGGATAGCATCTTGCATACCTAATGCGCAATTAACCCGAGTGTAATTTCACTCTCGTATTATGTTGTTTCGTGTCCACCCAGCTCGACACTGATAAAGGAGGAATGGAATGAAGGGAGCAAAATGGCTAAGAAAATGCCCATAATTAGACCGTTGTAGAACCCAAAGTGACGCGACAGATGTATCCCAAGTTTCGGAAGGTTGGGAAATGGTTATGCCGCGTCCACATTGATGTTCACAGAAATGTTCACGGGCAATTATAGAATTGTGTACGTCAAGAAAATGTTATAATACGTCCACATTCACTAAAACTGTTTACCAAGTTTATTCACACACGGACAAAATTTTTCCCGACGATGCAATTTTTTCAAAGAATTCTTGAAAGGAATAAAGATTATAATAAGAAATATTAAACATTCTAATTAGAAATTATTAAATATAAGTTTTGATATAAATTATATAAAAAAACTATAAAGAAATATAATATATATATTATATTATGTCTTTGTGTCAAAGATTCTTGATTTTATCTATGTCACGAGTAATACGCAAGAAACAATGTATGTATACAATATACAATAATTTTTGTAATATATTGTGTAAAATTTTATTGTCAAAAGTTAACTATGAAATCAAAGAAAGTTTACTAAATGAAAAAAGTAATGAAGATAGAAATATAGGAATTCTTTTTTAACTAAAAACTATTATTAGAGTTATTTACAAATTTGAAATGATAATTATTGTATTTAATCATCCTCTTTGCTTTCCTGATTTAACATTAAAAGATTTAATAATTAAAATTGAAAGATAAACCGTTCTAATCCTAAGATATTCAATAATTTTAAATTGTTTTAAATTAAATGATATAAATTATATTGAATTCTAGAAAAATTACTTTGGAATAAAATAAAAAATTTGCATTCTATTAATTATTTTTTATATATATATTTTTTTTATTCTCATTACTTTTTGCTGCATTACGCGGTATTATATTGGCGGTCGTTAATTACCATTATTATATAATATAATTGAAATCGTCAAAAACAGAATTTATCTTTTCATTTTTATCTAATCTTAGATAAAATTCTTCTTTCGATTAAAATCAGAAACGTAAATGAATACGAATTGGTCTCAAAAGTGTCAAATCTTGAAGACACTCGATCGAAGAGAAGAAACAAAAAGACAAGAAGTGTCGACATTGAGAGACCAATAGACCGAGATAAAGCCAAAGAATATAAAATACCAGAGGGGAACTCGATGGCTTTTTAGAATTTTTAATAAGCGACATCGGCACGCTTGCGATTCCCCGCAAAAGCGGAAATGTAAATTCAGCGCTTTCGCCAGCCGGAAGAGAAGAACTGACTGGCCTCTTGTAATATCGACATTAAAATTGCAAACCGTGCAACCAGCACAACCGATGCCTTCGTCTTCGCGAGACTCTCTATCTCTCTTCGTCTTTCCTTCTCTCCTGTTTCTTCTTTCTTCGTGCTATCTCTCTTTCTCTCCCTGGTCGAGTATGATTGTCCGCGGAAATCTTCAAGTACCAACGTGGAAACACTGTTCGAGCAGTAGTAAATGAAAGCCGCCGTTTGTCATGGAAACGCGTCTGCGGATGCGTCATATTAAAGTCTGGCATTGTTCGTCTCCAATGCAGACGATGCCGGGAAAATGAGTTAGTAAGAAAAAGAGAGAAAATGCACGATTGTCGGGAAACAAGAATAGAGAGAAAGCAAGGGATAATCGGGGATTAGCCGGGATTCACGATTTCAAATTATTATAGACGCGCAATGTGCCCTTACATACGGCGAATTGTGATTTATACGTTCATAATTCATCACATATCACATATTCTATAAATCGATGATAATTACGATTAAATTATAAATAAAAAATAAAAAACAACTTCGAGTAAACGTATCGAAAACTCATTGTTAATTTAATCTCTTGTTTTATCATAGTGTCTTCTATAATCGCGAAAAAACTAAATAAAAATAACCGTATATTTCTTTATTTCTATACCTTTTATTTTCTTTTAGGTTTGCATAACAATTGAAATTAATTATAGAAAAAAGAAACAACGTGTATCGAATATAATTTCAGTTACGTCTATTTTTCTAATTATTTACTTTCATCAATATATAATAACATTTAATTGAATAGAAGTATTAAAGAAAATTTACAACGATTTCTTTCCCAAATAAACTATTTGTAAATTCTCGATATCATTGATATTTCATATGAAAATATTAGAAGTAAATAATTTCAAACTTTTTATAAAATAATGCGACCTTGAGAAAATATGAGCACACATACTTGGTAAATAAATAGTTTCGCGACCGGTCGTGACTAATGGCTGACATAAACAAACAACCGGCAACGCGACAAATATGCGACCGTTATTAAAAATATGCTTCGTTATATATTCAAAATGTAACAATACTTAGATTAACACATGAAAACATAAAATTTTGATCGCAATATAGATATGTTCGACATCAAAAACAATTACAAACGACACATCGATATCATGATGAATAGCAATTGTAAAGGACAAGGTAAGTATCGCAAAAGCAAACACACCTTAATATCTAACAATTGTAAGCTTACCTACGCACATCCGTTGAGAAATAACTTGACGTATTCAACACGTGTTCTGGTCGATTTTTTGTCAACAGTATCACCGAGAACTGACAGGACAACGCAACACACGAGACAAACCAACCGACCGGCCGCGCACCAACTACGAAAACTCGTTCGCATTCGCGCACGATCGCGCCCAACCAACATGAATGCTTATAACGCACTCTATCGGGAAAAAATAGTATCTCCTATACATTTATTGAAAAATCAAGTTTAAAGTGAAAAATTTATGTATCACGATGAAAAACATTAATTTAAAGATAAATATAATTTTTGTAATATTTTTAATATTATTTCATTATTTCATAATAATCTTCCATTAAAGTCTGAATAAATTTTTATAAATAAAGTTTGAATAAAGATAAATCCGTATTTTAAAGATAAACTTTCTTATTATATTATATATTGCAAGTAAAGGAATAATAATGTTACTTTCAACAAAACATTTTATTATAAGAATCTAGTTTATTCTTGATTGTGTAAAGATTACTGTAATAATGTAATATAAAAATAATAAAAATTTAAGGAATATTAGCAAGATAATCTTTTACATTGGAAGGTTCCAATCTTCTAAAACCATTTGCATCACAAATACCAATTTCTATATTATCAGCTGTCATCTGTCCCTCGAATCCTTCCTTTAAAGTTAAAATGGCAGTATGAACAGCATCGTCCAATTCCAAATCTTCGCTATATCTTTTCTCAAGAAATACTTTTCCATTGACAAAATTTTTACCCATTGCCGTGGCCTTCCATGCAAAATATGCACCAGAAGGATCGCATTGATATAAACATGGCTTTCCATTATCCCAGCCACAAATTAACAAAGAGACTCCAAAAGGTCTGACTCCTCTATAATTTTAATTCAAAATACATTATAATTGTATTAATCAAATCTTTGATAAATTGAAAAATTATTTGAAAGATAAATACCCAGACTGTGTATATTCTTGCATAAGCATTGCAACTCTTTGTACCAATTGTGCAGTAGGTATTGGTTCTTGATAAATAAGCTGATATTGTTGTGCAATTTTACGTGCTTGCTTTACTAATAATCTATAATCTGGACCCATGCCACTATATACCATACCAATATGTTTTGTAATTATTTCTACTTTCTTTACACTGTGTTCATCGTACAATATAGATTTGTGTTTGTTTTCTGTGGCAAGAACAACTCCATTCGAAGCTTTAATGCCAACACTTGCTGCTCCAGCAGCGACAGCAGCTAAAGCATATTCTATCTGAACCAATTTTCCAGATGGACTGTGTAAAAAAATAAATTAACTTTTATATTTTATGACGTTCAGGTATTTGACGAGTCATTGTACACACAATTGAAATCAATTCATTTATGATAAAAGAAAAATTTATAACATTAATTTTTTCAACTGATTTTTATAAATAATAAAAAAAGAGATTATTTAAAGATAATTTTCACTTTCTTGTTAATGTAAATTTAATAAATCGATAAATTTTATAAATCGATGTAACCTGTAATTTACTTACAGGTTATGTTCATGAAAACTTCTATTAATTAGTTAGAGTAATATTACGTTAAAATTAAAATTTTTAAATTTGAATTCTTACGAGAAATAATTAAATTTACCTGAAAGTTGTTAATGAAAAACTATAACGTTCCGAAGCCATGACAATTACTTTGCAATAATATCAGTTACTAAATAGAGTGAACTTTCGGTACAAGGTTTGACAACTTGTACGATTGAAAGAAAACAGGGATTTTTACGCTAGGGATATTTTCTGTTACTATATGAAACTATGGTTATATTTTTAAATTATTAAATAGTGGTTTTTATATATTTTTATCTATGAAATCTACATCTATATCTTTAAAAATTTAAGTTATAGATAAAATTATTATTATTATTATTATTATTATATATTATTAAATAAAATTAAGAATTTGCATCAAGAATCGCAATACATTATTTCAGTGATACGAAGTACGTTTCATTAAATAAACGATATTACAAAATTAAAAATTGATCCCTTGATATCTTATAAAAATGTAAGATCTAACTTCAAGGAAGGAGGATGTCAATTTTATTTTTGCAACCAAATATTTCGAACAAACATTTAAAAAAGATCTATTGTTAATCGATCTATTTAATAGATTTTTTTTTTTATAATTTATTAAATGTGTGATGCAAAATTTTATACGATATAAAAGAGAAATATGTTCAATACAAACACATACTTCTTTCGTAGTATCCATTAAATTAATTTCAGAACCAATACAAATAATACAAATATAGAGAAATGGCTGATGAAGATAAGAAAAATGATAAAAATCAAATAGAAGAATTGTATGCGTGGATCTCTACGATTCCACTTTCAAAACCAACAAAGAATTTATCTAGAGACCTTTCCGATGCTGGTAGTTACAAAACGATTTTGTTAAAAACTCTTGATTCTTTCTATTTAGACTTCTATTTTTTCAATTTCTTATAATTTAAAAAATAACTAAGAAAAATATCCCTTAGTAATAATAGCGGAAATCCTTAAAATATATTATCCCCGTTATGTTGATCTTCATAATTATGTGCCTGCCAATAGTATAACAATGAAGAAAGAAAATTGGAAAATATTAAATCGAAAAGTACTAAGTAAAATTCATATGAAATTAAATAAAAATATTATCAATCAATTAGCAAATTGTCATCCTGGAACCGCTGAATATGTCTTATTGGAATTGAAAAAGAAAGTTCTAAAAGATTTTGAGAATCTGTCGTTCAAAGAAAATGATTTTATCGAAGAAGGTAAAAATTAAATGAAATAAGAAAGAACAAGGCGATTGATAAGAATTCCATCATAATATTTTCAAAGCGTGATACTTTATTTAGAAAAAGTGGACACAGATGGAATAAAAACGATATCAAACAAATCATTGCCAAATGTTGATCAATTAACCTTGGAACGTATTGATCGTAAAACATCGATATTTTATCAAATAAAAGAAAAATCCTATTTTATCTTGAAATGGTTTATAAATTGGTTATGCTTTTGGAATTATCTTCAAAATATTATATTCCGATTAAAGAATCCTTTCCAAAGTTCGTGTAAGTTGAACGTATATTTAAGAAAATATCTTTTAAAAAATGTGTACAATTATAAAATGAATGGAACACATTAAAAAATAAAATTAAAATTTTAATTTTTAAAATATGTCAAGTATGATGAATTCTTTTAAGGAACAAATTTCGACAAATATTTTCTTCGTGTCTGTTGAAGTGAAAGAAGATGCCGAGACGCAAAGAACGTCAGAGGATATCAACGGGGAAGATGGTGTTCCACGTCACGTCTGCATGCAATTAAGACAAAAACTTCAAGAGATTGACGACATTATCTACACGTTAAATCACAAGGTTGCATATCTAGAGAGTACGATGAAGCTGAAAGACATGAGAATATCAAATCTAACATCGCAGATCTTGCTGCACAATGAAGAATCTAAGCCACAATTTACAAAAGTTGAAACGAACGAAACGTCATCTAAAATTCGAGTGCAAAATATCGAGGAGAAAGTAAAAATAGAAAAATAATGTCCAATAAATCCCATAGTAAATAAATATCATAGAACTAAACACAATACTTATCTATCTAGTTTTAATTATACTTATTTGAATTTTTATAAATAAATTCTTTACATTTACTTAATACAGAGCTATTTATAACATTTTAAAAACACGAGAATCTTTAAAAATACATAAATTCAAGCAATGAATATAACGCTAACGTAAATTTATGCAAATTTTTATCTCTTTTATCATAATTTTAATTCGATTCTAATGAATGCTCGTTAATTAAAATTCATCGTGTTATGTTTTAAGAGTTTTAACAGATCCTTTTTAGATATTGCCGCGATAATTGAATGGATGCACGTCTAAACGTTCATCAACATTGAAAAATTAATAATCAAGAAAAATTGTTGTGTCACACAAGTAATTATGTGTTAAACAAACATACACACACATTGATATTAAAATAAAAATTAAAAACGCTTTATGCTAATCCTCCACTCTTAACTATCCGCGTTAAAAATTTTTATTTTTCAGATATTACCATAATGATTAAGAAGAAGAAGAAGAAAAAAAAAAAAAGATAATAAAAATATACGACTACACTCAACTCTTGTAAACAGAGAGAGAGAGAAAAAAAAGAAACACACTCGACGTTCACTATGTCAATTCGTATATTCGAGATATCTGGGATTGAAAAATATAACGAGTTCTTTTTCAGGATGAGGCTACGGAGAACTTGACATTAAGGTTTTATAAAAGCCACTCTCTCATCACTGTTCTCCACGAAGAGAGTGGGACTATACTTACTGCAGGGTCACGCGTCACGCATTGCAATGTTAGTATAGAGGCAACACTCAAACAGAAAGGACGCCTAGCGCCTGGACTCTTAAGCCGGTTTGAATGAAAATTTAACCGTGGTGTGAGTATAATTCAACATTAAATTAATATTTTTTTCTTACCTAAGTTTCCCACTGCTTACTACTTGCCTCCCTTTTTACTCTTTCAAATTTGATCTATCCATAGATCCTTATGGATAGAATTAATATTTTCGTTATTCTATGAATTATTATATTTATAGGTTATAAATAAAATAGTGGAAAATTTTCGTTGTATTATAAATTAAACGTCGTTAAAATTTATTTCTTCTTATTCGGAAAATAATAGATTTCGTAGAATGAGAAGTATCAATTATAATAAATATTAGATTAATGGAAAATTTTCTACGTTCGTTAATATTAATTGAATGTCATTAAAACTTATTTCTTCTTATTTGAAAATGATAGATTTCGTAGAATGTTGGAGAAATATTAATTATAATAAGTATTGGACATATAATACGACAAGTAGATATTACTTATATATTATTTTAAAATACTCGTTCTTATATTCACTTTTTACGTTATTTGTGATCATTATATAAAAATATGGGATAAGAAAAATATCATAAATATCTTTTTATCATTATACGTACACTTGTTATGAACAGAGAAAAATTCATGTATATATGAAATAACAAAATTAATCTAATATAAATTTTATAGAAAATTTGTATTATATCGTAGGAATGAAATGTATATTTTTGAATAAAAAAAAAAAAAGAACTATAAATGTTAAACGTAAGTATAGTATTTTGTATTCGTTATTTCGAGTCTATATGTCATTTCTACGACGAGTTAGGTGGAACGTCAGTGTCCGATATCTCAAACGATCCATGTTCTCGGTCATCGACCTTTGCTGCGTAACATTTCTTCGAACGAGAGATTTCAATGCCTGTATCGCAATAAAATTTTGAATTTTTCAAGAAGATGAAATGCGCGTACACATATCTTATCGTACATTTATTAAATTCATTCTAGGAAAAAAAAAAAAAAAAAAATGGTACAAATTTTCTTCTCATTGTTAAAAATAAAATACGAGTTAGGACAAAAGATTTTTCCCAAATAAAATTAAAGATTTTTATTACATTTCCTTACATAACATCTACAGTCGAACACATTTTTTTTATATCGCTATTTGGATGATTCATATATTTGTTCCAAGCATAAAATTTTTTCCCTGTTACACATTCTTCTCATTTCCATATCCTATTTGATAACAATAAAATATACTCTTGATATACACATTTTTCTACAAAAAAATCTGCAAGAAAAAAAAACTACATATATCAGACAAAATTTTTGGGATATATTAAAATTTATTATTTTACGTACTATACAAGATAATATTATCCACATGTATACATAGATGGTACATAAAACTAATTACTCAATAATTTTCGAAAAAATTTCTAAATTTATTTATTCTCGATTCACTGCGTGTATTTCGAATATGTTTCCGTTCCTTTTATCAATTAATCCCCTTTTGTTGATTCTTTTGAAAAGGAAAAAAATTTTCTATTGTAATTTAACGTATATAACGTACACCTTTCGTTTAGATCATGTTACTCAAGATCGTGTCCTGCCCAACGTTGTGTTACCTAGCCGCAGCTGGATCACTCGTCGTGCTTCTGGTTTTACTGGCGGTGTACCTTTACGCCCGACACACGATGGGAATCTGCAAAAGCAAGAAAAGAATGGACGGGAAGACTGTAATAATTACTGGATGCACGTCTGGTATTGGAAGGGAGACTGCGAGAGATATAGCGAAAAGAGGCGCGAGACTAATCATGGCGTGCCGAAATTTGGAAATGGCGGACAAATTGAAAGGTTTCGTCCTTATGAAAATTTCACTCTCATAATGAATCACCACATATTTACATATCGTTTCGATCGAATTGTTTGGAGAGAAAAAAAAACTGTTACGATTCATTAATAATGAAGTAGAGAAAGTAGGGTAAAACTATGCATATATATATATATATCATTGTTTCTCCAAGCAAGAATTGCGTTATACGCGTAACGCGTGATATTAATTTTGAAATAGGTCTTGAAAAAAATATATGAGACATCGTCCGTTTGTAAGTCGAGTAATGTAATACACGAGTTGATGCAAATTTGAGAACTTCAACAAGAATTCCATTCTACTCTATACGTAATAGAATTCATAATTTTTTATAATAAAAATTTTTTATCAAGTGGTTTTTAAATACGAACACGATTTTATCTCTATCCCCGTTTCGATAAAGTCTTTGAAAAATCTTATTTTCCTTCGAGTCGAATAATTTTTTAATTATATAGAAGAATTAAAATTAGAGAATTAGAAATGAAATGAGTATGGTGGAAGAGCAATTTTTAACTCTAAATTTAAAGTTGTAGATTTATTTATTTCGAGTTCATCAACACAATCGATGCATCCCATCAATCGAAATCAAATTAAAGCAAATTATACAATCATCGAGACTGCAACAAGCGGGATTATTCGCTCGCATTTATTAATTTTACAAATTTGCATGAATTCAATAGAAAATTTGCACAAGATAACTGCATTTCCTTTCACCGACAAAATAAAATCCTTAAGTCGTTCCCACAATCACCAATCAATTTCCCACATTTCCTAATACTCTTCTAAATAAACGTTTCTCTTAATCCACAGAGGAGCTAACAAAAGAGTCCGGAAACGAGAATATCGTCGCTCGAAAACTCGACCTGTCCTCGTTCTCCTCGGTGAGGGAGTTCGCCCGGCAGATAAATCACGAGGAGAACAGATTGGACGTGCTGATCCACAACGCTGGTACCGCGCAACTGTTCAAGAAGATGGTCACCGAGGACGGAGTGGAGATGACCATGGCGACCAATCAATACGGCCCGTTTTTGCTCACGCATCTTTTGATCGGTGAATCCCTTTCTTTCTCTCAATTTGTGGCGCATCTTCGACAATGTAACCCAGCACGATTCGATTTGCAACGATTGCAGATTTGTTGAAACGGTCGAAGCCAAGTCGAATAATCATCGTCGCGTCCGAGCTGTACGTTTTCGCAAGATTGAACCTGGACAACGTGAATCCAACCACGACCATGCCCGGCTACTTGTACTACGTTTCCAAATACGCCAACATCGTGTTCAGTTTGGAGTTGGCAAGACGGCTCGAAGGTTCCGGGGTCACTGTCAATTGCCTCCATCCCGGTTTGATAAGCACAGGTATATGGAAAGCGGTTCCGCCTCCGTTTTCGTGGATGCTGAACAATCTGCTCAACGTTTTGTCGAAAACGGTCGAGCAAGGGGCTCAAACGACCATACACCTTGCCGTCTCGGACGAGGTTGACGGGATATCGGGCAAATACTTTATGGATTGCAAAGTAAGGAAAAGCTCGAGATTCTTCTCTTGTCTTTCGATCTTCCATTAAAAAAACCCTTGATGAACCCTTCAGGAGCGCGAACTGTATTGCGGCGTCAAGGATCCGGCACAGGCTAAGAAATTTTGGGAGCTGAACGAGGCCATGGTGAAACTCCAATCGACGGATCCGAAAATTTAGATCGACCGCGAGCTAA